TCGCCGAAGATAACGAGCAATTTCGCCGATTTTAAATTCTGACTCGGTAATTAAACTTCCGTCCGGACGATCGACAGAACTCTCCCGACTCCTCCGGTCAATTGTCCTGACGATCTCCGGTCAAATGATAGACCTACCCTCCAATCGTCCGGAGGGCCCCAACCTCATATAAGTAGCCTGTGGCCGGCCCCATGTCGGATCAGTCAATGTTCCGACCAATGCATCATGAGAGACGGACGTGGTTGGCTAGCTAGGTGCGGCGGTCATCTGCGTGCCGCCTCTTCCCAGACTTTTGCAAGTCCTGTAGGTCTTTCGACCCTAGTACGGTTGGTTTAAGCACAGTTTGTGGAACAACTTGAAACTTTTGAGTCCAACATGAAACACAGTGATTGGACGAGGATAAAACTTAGGAGGGCAACTTAGCTTTTATATGTTCCGCCCACATATGGTAGCTTGAGCAATAAGTTGAGCACGACATGCCGGAACTCTGACCGCGTTGCTGATTGGTCCAACCAGTGTCAACGATAAGATTTCGTCTTATAATCCGTACACTTGATAGCAAGAAATTAAAACCAATTCAATATATCCCCACTGTCAATAAAGTAGAGCCGATCAGCCGTCCCTGCATCATGCAAGCAACCTCAATATTGATAAAAAGTACAAAATTATGTGCGAACCTATCCGCCCTAAATAGGGAAGAGGTAGTAGATATATACAAGAAGCCAAAGCGTGACGGAGAAGAGGGCGCAGATGTGCTCCCAGAAGAGCGCAGCAGAGATCTCCTTCTCTCCATACCCACGAAGTGTAGCCGCCGTACCTGCATATCATAGAGGATGCGCAGTTGATTCTGAGGTCTTTCGGCTGCGACACTTTGTCCTATGCAAAAAGTACAATTTGATTCGGCCTTGCTTTCAATCGGAAAAGCACGGACGATAAGCGATTCGGCAACAAGGATTTGCGGCGAAAGCACTGATCTTGAAATCCAATTCCACGAGTGAAAGACATGCATCTCGGCAAAGTTTATTCTACGGATCAAATTGAAGCGCTACTGCTTGCAAGCCACATGGTAACCATTAAGCATCCACTTCTGATTGGTGCAGCAGGGAGACCAGTTGTATATCTCGCTTTCCTCGAGGAATAGTCCAACTCGAGTTGGAAGCGTCAACCCCTTAGCTTCAACGCAACAGAACCCAGCTCAAAGCCAGAGACTGTTGAAGTATCCAAAGGTCAGCTCTAAGGGTCAATTACCGGTCTGAAAGGGTTCAGGCATGACGTGTTCGAAGCGATATGACCATTATATCATTTGCGAGCAGCAGCCCAGAGCACTCCATGAAACTCTCGGTTCCAGAGGTCGAGAGACCTTGCGTTTCAGAATTGAAAGCTACTCACCGACTTGGATAAACGTAGGCATGGTATGTTGCAGCAGAAGAGCGAATGTACAAATTTGTCTTCAACACGGAAAGAGCCCAAAGTCCTTCACGCCTTTCTCAACATGGTTTTTGAGTCCTAAGATTGGAGTTACTCAACGACATTGAATGACGTAGGCATGGTGAGTTGCGGCAGTAAATCCACTGTAGCATGCCCATCTTGGTTTCCACGACGAGGCCCGAACTGCTCTGCAAGATTTCGTTCTCAAAATAAAAGCAGCTTCTAGGAATACTCACCGACTTGGATGGATGTAGGCATAGTATGTTGCAGTAAAAGCACGAATATGTACATCTTGTCTTCCACGAGGAGCAGCCCCAAGTGCTTGGCGGTCAGCACGAAACACATGCCGAGCGCAGGCAGCACCACCAGGCGCATAATGCAGATCCCCACCATAGTTGCGCTGTTCAGATCCGACGCGCCGGGACCTGCCGGAATGAGAAACGTTCAGTGCCGGAACTTAAAACGGATAACCGGGAGTTTGTCATTCTGTGTGTCCCTGCGTTCTAAGTTTACTGTAATGTCTGCAGAAGCACACCAGGCGCGTCACGCAAATTTCCACCATAGTCGCGCTGTTCAGATCCGATGCGCCGGGACCTGCCGGAATAAGAAACGTCAGTGGCTGAGGTTTCGGACTTGAGGACCGACTGGATTGTATTCTCAAGTTTGCAAAGAGTCGCAAAACCTAACCGGCGCGTCAAGTAGATGTCAACCGTAATGGCGCTGTTCAGAGTCGATGGGCTAAGACCTGCCAAGACTGGAAAACGTCAGGGGCGGTTCTGGAGTTGCGTGGGGCTAAAAAGTGTGTTCGCGAACGAAACATTGCACTCTTTCGAGTGAGAAGTCACCCAGTGTCTAGTAAGACCTTGGATTAAACTGCGCCCGGATCAAGCGCCACCAGAAGCGTAACACAGAAGCCCACCGTACTCGCCCTCTTCAGATTCGATGTGCCATACTGCCAAATCGTCAGTGGCGTAACCTCTGGACCGAGTAGGTGAAAGGTGTAATCGTAGGTGACGTTTTTGCGTTCTCGTAGAGTTGTATAAGAATTTTCAGCAACACCAACCGTCCTATGCAGATGCCCATCATAGTGAAGCTGTTCAGATGGGATGCGCTAAGACCTGTCGAACTGCAAGAGGTTGAACTGGCCGAAGCAGAGTGGCGGAGGCTATGCTTAAAGGTAAAGCGTTATCGCTCTTGGATGATCGAACTCGAGAAAACCAAAACGTGCATCCCGGGGTCTACCTCTTTTTAGGGGTAGCCCCAGGTCAAAGAAGCACGACTGGCTGGCGCGTTGATGACTAAATGGAAAGACGCGATCCGATAAACCCTCATGGCGCTCCAAACAAGACGCCCAATGTTGTCGCATCCTTGGAAACAGCGCGCCGGCAGCTCGCGAGAGACTGAACGGTCAGCATCTTTTCAAATGCATTCTGAGCTTGTAGTGTGGGTCGAAACGCGTTTTGAATTCGAGAACGCACACATGGAAATCTGATGTCAGATTCTGAGAGGCCCGCAACCCAGTATGAAGAAAAGAGGGGCCTGCGAAACTTCCGCCTACCTCAAAAATGAAAACAACAAAATATTGGAAGTGGAGAGGAGTGGTAAAAACTAGTGGGCCCGAAACAGACTCGACTGTGCAGCTAGCTCGGAACGCTGTCTGAGATTGCCCGCAGTGGACAGAGGCAGCATTTGTAGAATCCATCTAGTAGCAAAGGAATCCACGCCACCACCGGTGTGCAAGACAAAAAGGTCCAAAAAAGTAAAGAGCCCTTACCGCCGCCTAGATTGCCTCCCAACACCAGGATAAGGCACGGAATCATCGCTTGCCTGTCAAAAAAGCGAAACGAGTTTGATGTCATGTACGGGTCGGCTCGCAAGTTCGCTTTAAGTGCTCTGCGTTTGTCAGCCCTCGTCAATTTATTCGTTGCATTTCACCATTTGCGAGCTACAGCGCCCGTCACAAGGGGTTGCAAAATGCGTCGCGGATTGAGGAGAGCGGTCGCGCCGCTCCTCATTTTATGTCAGCAGGATGAAATCAAACGAGTTAGCCGCAATTCGGAGTCAACAGAGAAGACGTGCTTCGAGCCAGTGAAGGACCTCAACGATTACAAAGAGAGCATAGTTGCTGAAGGAAGACCTCTTGTCTGTTTTAGCAGGTAAATTAGCGACGTATTTACGCCTGGCTGATCTCAATAATGCGAGCCCTTAAATGATTTCTGACGCAGTCCGAGCGATTCCGGAGACAAGGAAAAGTCAAAGCCTTTCAGCCACGTTTCCGTAAACTAGAATGTCCTCCCCCTTGGAAGTTCTGCGATGGAGGGTTAAGTACGGGGTTAAGAATGTCCCGTTTTCGCAGTAGGGAATTTGCTGGGGGTAGTAGGGGGGTTAGTAGCTCAAGTTTCGATCTCGGTCAATGCGGTCAACCCGGTAAGGGTTTCGGCCAATAGGATCACGATCACTTACCATTTTTGGAACATGTCATGTCAATAAGGGAGGCAAACAGTAAGGAGCTCATCCGCAGAGTGCCACGTTCGCTTGAAGCTTGACCAATGAGTGGACACCAACTCGCCACGTGTCACGAGGTCAGATGAAAGGCTGACGTGCCTCACCCAATGATCGAGACGGAATCCGTGACGACCCGGAACGGTCCGTAGGTGTCAAACAGCGCCCACTTGAGCGGCGGAATGGCACCCACGAAAAGTGCGGCCAACTGCGCAGAAAAAAACTTTTATTCTCAGAAACCATTAAATTTTCGGTCACAATGAGCGTACACCCTCAGAACCGGCGCCTTTGTAAAGCGAGAGAGTGTGCGTAGCCAACCGCAGGAGGTTGTCCTCAAAAGGCAACACAATGGGTGGACAAGCCTGCTATCAGGTCGCCGCCAATGAACCGGTCTTTCGACACCCGCTGCGTTCTGGACACCGGGCCGTCACGCGGGCAGCATTTCCCGGATTGTAACGACAGTGCATTCTCGGAAACGTAATCGTCCTCCCTTAACTGCAACGTGTATTTGTCTGTCGCAGAATGGAAAGTGCGTTCGCAACTCCAAATCCTGCCTTAGATTCTCTCCTGTGAATGGTAACCGTCCCAGGAAGCCAATGAAACATGATTCGCGCTTACGTGTATTCCAAGAAAAATGGTAGCATTGCTCGAACGAGCAGCGAAAAAGAGTCAACGAGCGACGGAAAGCTCACCGAGAGTGCGACTCAATGCAGAACTGTGTGCAGAAAGCAGAAGAAAACCAAAGACGTTTGCGGAACTCACCGCGCCGGCGATCGGCGGCCGCATGATTTGATGCAGCCGCAAGAGCTTCGCGAAGCTCTTGACCTGCAGGACCGCGGGTCTAGGGAATTGGTTAAGAATGGTTCAGAATCGACTATCAGGGTTTACAGAGATACCGTGTCAAACGCTTCAGTACCAGCAGAAGGTGATGCACCAGGGGCTTCAAGAGAATTCTGAATTCCTGGCGCGCTATCTTTAGAACCCAGATTTCCGATTCTAGCTGTAAACCCAAGAAGGAAAGGAACAGTTTGCTCTAGCGTTCTGTGAAGGGTCTAGTCTGCTAGCGAACCCATCCTCAATGAGAAGGACGCGCATGCCATCAGTGCACCCATCACAACGAACCCAACCCTCGTATTCAAATCGGACAGATCCGCCCCACATCTTTGGACATGCTTCAGGTTGGCTTGCGCTTCCCGGCCTAATAAAACGAGCGCAGGCTCACAGAGTCTTACACGGTCACAGGACCAAAGCTGTCAAACCGTGTCCTGACTTGGATTGTAACAGATAGGCAGAGGGACCTGCAGGCCCATGTTACTGACGCATTAAGAGGAACCTGGACCTTTAACCCTAGAACGAGACCGTTTCACTTGCCCCACCTTTTCGTAAACGCTCCGGGTTAGTTTGCGCTCTGAATCCTCGAGCAGCGGGGCATGCAACCTACACGACCTTCAAACCATCGCCCTTGACTAAAATTTTGACCCACCTTTTTGTAAACGCTTCGGGTTAGTTTGCGGCTCCGAGTCGAAAAGCGGGGCGCGCAGGACCTTAAAATCAACACAACAGGGGGACCTGAGCCTCCTCAACCTATCCCTTAACCCGCCCTTAACCCCGAAACCTCATCCCTTAACCCAGACCGTTTCGACCCACCTTTTTGTAGAGGCTTCGGGTTAACTTGCGCTCTGAGTCGTCGAGCAGCGGGGCGCGCAACCCGGTCGCGACGGAGAGGCGGCGGCGCGGCGTGGTCCCCATGCGGAGGGAGTGCTCCGCGGGGAGTTGGAGGGAGTCGTACACAAGCGTCCACAGAATGATGGCGAGCGGCTGAGGGGACGATTCCAAGTATATTCTACTTTTTGCTTATTCCAGATTTGGAAAAGTCGCTTCCTTGCTTCCTCCCGTCTCTTGTGCGTCTCAGGGTGACAGAGCTCTGATTGGTGGTTATTCAACAAACATCGACGTTTCAGAGATCACGGGTTGGTTTGAATCTGCATCCGGAACTCGGTTCGTGGATGGTCGGTTTTGTGGACAGAACGATGGCCAATAGCGGGAGAGAAACAAATTTGCTGATTCAGTTTCAGTACTCGACGTAATGAGAATTGATTTTGGGAGTGTTGACGAGTCAAGAATTTTGATGTGGCATCATAGCTCTACGTCCGGATCAAACGGACTTTGAAAGAGCAAGTAAAGGGCACGTAGGGTCGAAACAGGGGCTCGAACCATTCAACGCACGAAACCGGGGCTTGAACGATTTTGATTGTCGGTCCTTCCTGGTGTCAGGCAAACCGCCCCAACAAAATGGTTTGACCGAGCGCTTTTAACGAGCCTGGCGAATTGTTCTTTCCAACTCTGTTGCAGTGAGAGTGATGTAGGTTATGGGTCCTTAAACGGCGAAACAAGAAGAAGTTGCGAGGCAAAAGCAAAGAAACAGGAAAGCGACAGGAAACGCGCGAAGTCGTATTCTTGGCAACTCACCCACATCCCAAAAGCAACGTAAGATACGCCCCTGGCAAGACATGAAGCGGTGTCACCGAACGGGTTCGACGGGTCTTGGCACACGGCGGTCACCAGAACCAACGGCAGGTTGCCCATGTTACCTGAAATTGAAGGAAGCAGATAGTTTTGAAGACCTGGCGTTGATTGTGCCGTTCATCAGTGGGAAGGACTTGGCTTTCAGCCGCCATGAGATGTGCACATAAGCCAGCCTCAATAAGTATGTTCGTAAGTGGAACGAGTCTAGGCGGTATGCTAACAGGGCGTGCTTGGAAATCAGCGTTCTGCGACGCTCCGTACAGTTTGGAGAGAGCCCCCACTGCGATGTTGAATTGCTAACAGGCCAAGTGGATGGCTATGAAAGGGTTGGCTGGGGACGAAACGAGGTGGGCAAACGGAAGATAGGAGAGGGGATGTGCAGAAAGCGAGATGGGCTGTTGACAAAACGAGCGACTGTTGGCAAATTGGATTTGGGCTGTCAAGGTCAAAAGACAGGTTGTAAAGATACGAGATGGGCTCCTATCTTAACCGACGGGCTGTGTGAGAAATGACGATGGGCTGCTATTGAGGGGACGAGGTGTTGGGGAATAAGCTGTTGATAATAAGAGACGGGCCTTGGATACAAGAGTGAGGCCCTGATGCTCACCTATACCCACGGTGAAAATGACGAGCCGTGTGTATTCCAGAGGCGGTTTGCAGATGAGGACCACTATATACCCTAAGAAGCAACCGATCGTGCAACCCGCCAAGATGTTAATCGGAATAAAGTACCTGCAGATTCAACGATTGGACTCTTCAGGCTTCAGCAGCCCAGCAAGCTAACTCTGACAGGTCCTCATTCACTATTGAAGAGCACAAGGTGCCTTTTGCAGACTTCAGTCTCAGCCGCACATTGATGGCCTTAGCAAGCGATACGGTTGAGCCATTTTGAGTAAACGTCTTCACATGAGACCTTCTTTTTAGACAGGCTGGGCGTTTGTCATTCAGGGCACGGGTCGCTCAACAAAGACTAGGCCAGACGTCCGTAAGAACGGGATACCAAAGTCAATTCAAATTAGACAACCACTCATTGATAAACAGGACTCCATCGATTCCGGGAGTTCTTTCTTTGACGAACGGATTCCAGACTAATCGACAAAGGGGTTTTGCACTTGATTGGCCACCCCCCCCAAGTCCAAACGGCACTTCGCAGAGCAGGCAATTCAAAAGCGCTTTGGTGAGAAGGCCCGGAAACTCAGACTTGCCCTTCAATGCAAAAGTGATATCGACACCCAGACTGAGCTTTACAACCCACATCGTAGGTTTTCAAATTATAAGAAGAACGTCAAGTATCGTGATACCATAAAACTCACCACTTGATCATGTTTGTGATGTCGACACCTTGGCCCAGTTTCACAAACACCAGTGCCGGCAGTAGCAACACGAAAACGAGCTGCGAAAACGGGATGTTTGTCAGCTTTTATGAAGTTACGAAGCTAAACTCTCTGGGCGGAACGGGGGTAGATTAGCCGACCCATGCTGGGGACGCTTGTATCGACGGCTATGAAGCGTTGCGATGAAACTTCCTTGCTTGACTTGGGCTTTCGAAACATCCTGATTGGTAGTTGGCAACCTAGATGGAGTTACTGTCAGTATTTCTCTAGTTCAAAGCGAGTAGCCAGAGAATGGCTCTAGGCAGGATCAGAGTGGCTACCAGGAAAATATATTGTGTCGCTCACTTGACAGCGTGACAGCGATTGGCCTCTGGGAACAGCGAGTCACATAGATTCCGACAGTCCTGATTGTGTAATTTCCCACGGTGCTACAGTGTTTCTGGGCCTCGTTGTCAGCATTCTCAAGGAGGGCGTTTCTCAGCACAAGACCAGTCCCCACAATCAGGAGAACTTTAAGCACAGCAAGAACCCAACATCACCACTAGCTGTCAGCACTCAACCATTTTACAACTTACCTTGCTGATGTGCTTCCGAGCCTCGACATTCAGCACACCCATGTAGGGGGTCGCCAGCACCAGGCCCGTCCCCGCAATGATGAGCACTTTCAGGACCGGTAGACAGGCCGAAAGAATCAGCTTCCGTAGGTCCATTTGGTGGGCCGGTTGGGGGGCGCCCGTTAACGCCCCCGCCGCACCCTCTAGGGCGCCACTCAGCCATGGGGGGAGGAAACCGGCGTCCGCCATGGGTGTGAATTGGCTCTTTCTGAAGTACTGGTGTAAATTGGCTCACAGGGACTTGGTGGTGAGAATGGACAAAAGAGGAGACACTCCGGTTGGACTAGCGGAAGTGTGCGGTGTGAACTGGTCTGTGGATCACGTGGTGTGAATCAGCTTCAAGGGATTGGCGTGTGAATGGCCTTTGGAAAGCGGGATTGGACAGGCAGTCTGGTTTAAACAGGCTCCGGGACAAACTCCTTCCTGATGGGGCTACTTGCGCCAATAGTTTTGAACAGGCTGATTAAATTCCAAAAGTTTCCTCCGCCCTTGCTTGACTACGTTAGTATGTATGGTTTCAACGGATCAGGGAATTAGTACCTGCAAGCGCAAAGGCATCACCTCAGAGCGGAAGTAGTTGAGATTCCTCAAGAGATAAGAGTCAGTTTGATTGCAAGGCCGCTTGCTGTAAAACGAGAGGGACTTCCAAAAGTCAATCTGATGTAGAAACTCTGCCAAGGTTCAAAATACGAGCAGTCTGAGCTGCAAAAGTCCAAACTTCTAGCGGCCTAAATGACCTCCTTTGACAAGTCTAGCGCATACCCTCGTTGCTTGCGATCTGGAGTCATCGCAGGATACTATTCAAATCAATCACATCCTTAAGGAAAAATGAAGATGTGATGTCCACTACGGATAATGTCTCCAGCGTGAGAACCACAGAATTGCGGCAATGCTGTCAATGCTGTCAATGCTTGTTTGTCCAAAACCACAAATCTGAAGATGTTATTACATATGAATTGAGATGAGCCCTCTGCCTGATCTGCATGTCGAGCACCCTTCAATAGATGGCCGCAGATTTACCGGTAGCGTTTGTAGCCAAGTAATCTGTGAACTGGGAGAGATGTACCTTCAAAGAATGAAATTGTACGGCAGATACAATTTCCAGGGAGCCCGCAGCCAGAATCTCGTCCTTCAGCCTAGATCACATTGAGACCAATGCAATTGAGTGAAACATTGTTTGTTTGCTTACCTGGCAAATTGAAAATCTCGATGCAAAGTCTGTGCAATAGGCGAATGCTGTGTCTAAACTTCACGTGTGCTCAATGCTGCCTAGGTTGGGACGGGCTTCATACAACTCAAAATGCAAAATTCCTCGCAGTGCATCCTGTCACTGCAAAACGCAGCCACCTAATGCAGCGCCTCCGACAATCCACTTTCTTTGGGAAGATGCTCATTCCAGTGGTCAACCAGCTCAAACCTCAACATTGATCCAAGCTCCCGAATTTGATCAGTGGCGAGAAGAGTGCGCAGACCTAGCGGTGCTTCGCACACATGCGAGCAGCATCTTCCTTTTGACTGGAAATTCCAGCTTTCAAGCCATGGATTCGAAACTTGGAACTTGGCAGTCAGTATGCACGCTTCTGGGGCTTTGACACCACCGTCCTTTTCTGTGCCCTGTTGGCAGGCTGTGTCAAAACAAAAGTTCGGCAACGCGGCGACGCCCTCACTCTAATTACTGGAGGGCGTCGCCAGCAAACTTTAGGGTCCGCATTTGTGGTTGCCAGAGAGCATTTAATGCTAACTCCATCGGACGATCCAAAGGGTCAGAGTTGGGGGCTGCCCCCAGCAAACCAAATGGAGTTCGACCTTGTTTTCAACCGCTCGATGGGCGCCACGTGTCTCCCCTGGCCCGAGGCTCGTGCGGTCCGCATAAATCGTGACTTTGCGCCGTCGAAGTGCAAAAGTTGGGTCAGTGCCGCTGGGCTGCCGGTTTTTGGCTACCGGCGGGCCTTTCCGACTAAAGGTAAGGTGGTGATCCTGTCCATGTTACCTAATGCCCATTGGTCTACCCGCTGATTGTATACGAATGGGCATTAGGAAAGCCCGGCCGCTATATTTCACCGCTTTTCATCAAAATAGCTCAGGTGGTTTTGAATCGATCTCAGACCTGCTGGTAAGTTGTCGCGACGTGAAGATCAGAAATTTTGTCACGAGCAGATGGATAGCATGCACGGACAAGCCCGCCGGAGTTGCACCATTTCTCAATCCCGGAGCTCAATCCGATTGAATAGGTCGTGCGGGGACAATGTAAAGACTCGCACAACCGGGCTAGCTTCTGCTCGCAACTTGTATAATCTGCAACTGACAGGATTCGAGATGCTTAGATGATAGATGCACAAAGCTTGCTCGGATACATATCGAGTATGGTCCGATTGACCACAAATGTTGCCTTCGCGCGTCATGGCATTCAAACGTTCGTCACTACGGCGGTATGTGTATCGATCAAAGCGTAGAACAGATCCAGGCTTTGACTTGGTACCGTACGTGGAATTCGTAAGCATTTCATAAGGAGCTAGACCGGTTCTGCATGTTCGTATTCTACCCAACTGCATGGGCGATGCTTAAGGCATGCGCAATAACGTAAAGACTTCAGGTGATTCATGTAATGCACGCATGACTCAATCAACTGATGGCAGTTAATGGAGCAGAGGAAAAGCATTCAAGGAATGTAAAAGAGCCATTAGCTGGCTGGTGGGATTGCATGGTACCGTGTGTTCTATTAAGACCATGAGATTAATTTTGGGTCAAATTAATATGAGAAGCAGAATAACACTATGTGTCTGTAGTACCTAAAGTCCACATGCATGACAGACGCGCAAGTTGTACAGAAGTAAGGGGTACAAGTGCAGCTCGTCAATCATGCGAGAATAGCGAGAATCTGGGAAATCAAGCACCTCATCATGCAGGCACGTATAGTTGTACATGATAGCCAATTGAATGCCATGAGGGTCTAGCTTTGAGAGCAAGAAGCATAACACTGAGACGAGCGTCTTGGTATACACACAGCTTGCGGTGTTCAAACAACATCTCACATTTACTCTCACCAACCATGCACTTAGACTCATATCGAAACCTCTACCCGAAACTTTATAGTGCCCTGCAGGCCCGTCTTATGCAAATTTCTTTACGGCCACAACAAGCCCGGCCCGCTCCAACCGGCCCTTGTAAACCATACCCAAATCCCCCTTCCCGAGCAGGTTTTGACGGCGGGGCGTTGAACAGACTTCTTTTTACCGCCTATAAAGGAAGTATCTCATTCCAACTTTCACTCCTCACCTCCTTCGACGCCAAGCCAAGGTCGCGACTTCAACAAACATCTGAATTTCTCTCACCAACTCTGTGTTACCTATGTGCCCCCTCTCTTGAGCCGCATTATTTCTTCCTTGAGCGCTTCGTTCTCTGACCGTAGTCGGGTTATCTCGTTCACGTTCGCCTAACATGGACAGAAAAGGAGCTCATAAGCCAAAGAATTGGAATCAGAGAAGCCTGACCTGTGCAAATTTCAATTTAAACAGCAATAAATTCTCCAGAAACAGCTTGATGTAGCCAAAGAAATATCCAAATTCGATGTTGGATGTCAAACCAAATGAAAAGATATTCCAAGCCTTCAACCTTCTTTTTCAGGAAATGTGTGCCTTCTTCTCTTGCAAAACGTGAACACTCGTCTAAGAACTCGAACAGAAGAACCATGAGTTATGCGCATCTTCACTCAATAAAAGAACACGCAACTCCTGTTTCATTCCAACTCTTCCCCTATCTAAAGAAGAAGTTGCTCTCTTCTAAGTAAAAAGATGAATCATATAAGTAGCCCACACCTTCAGAAGCTCTGCTCTCTTTGTTGACAGCAATCCACACCGCTGCAGCACGCTGAGAGAGTTTTCTGCCATGTGCTGTTCCATTGCCTGCGCCCGCTCAGCCCACACTTCATAAGGCTGCTCGCACATCTCCGGCAGCATGAGGGCCACAATCAACCGTAGTAGGCCGATCATGCCGTCGGGCCCCGTCTTCCGCCAGTAGGCCTCTCCGGAGCACCGCACCTTCGCTCTGACAGTGCCGTCTTTCTGCCGGTTTGCAATGACCAGCACCCCCAACCACCGCTCCCAGTCCGTTGGGAAGCCAAACCCTCTTCCAAACCGGGGGACAACCTCATCCTCTTGCAGGAGAGAAGAGGAGCTGGAGCTCCGGGTTAAGCCAGCACTACTGCTGGCAGCACCTGAGTCACCATCGCTTTTCCGCCTCTTCTGGACGTCTATTGTTGCCTCAGCCTCGTCATCGAGCCGCCAGTTCTCCTCTAACTGCGCAGACACTCCCCCGATGCACTGGAAGAACCCCCCCCACTCTGTCTTCAAGTTCTTTTTCACCTCGGCATTGCCTTCGTGCCGCGTTGCCGATGGACCCTTTGCAGTGTGAACGCGCAAAACCGCACATTCGGTCCTCCCCTTCGTCTGCTTGCCAGTCACCCACTGCTCGTGGGATACAATCATTTCCGGCTCCAGCAGGAGCGCTTCGAATGCATCCATCACGTTCTGCTCGGCGAGATGCTGTGGATCTTCAGGAATGCTGTCCCCAACAAGACGCTCCTTGCTGGAAAACGCAGCTGCAGAACACAGAAGACAGCTTTCAATAGTCTGCTTAAATTTGGATGAGCGATGCAGCCCTTGAAACGACTGCAGGTCCAGGGAATAACTCCAAAAATGCATACCATAATTGATCTAGAAGCCAGACTGCAGCTGTCCTTAAAAACTTTACAGCTCATCCAGCTTGTTGAGTGGATTTCATATGCAAGGCCACCAGATAACATCGGCACCCCTCATTTGAAGCAGGATGACAAAAATATGGAATTCTTGAAGCAGGAGGCCACTAAGCACCATTAATTTTAGCACCTCAAGAAGCTGCAGGTGACAAGCCCCAAGCATACCTCAAGCCGGCAGGAACTTGTTTAAAGAAAGCTTGCACTCCTCATGCCAACTTCTTGTCAAACAAAGAATTGGAGTCTCTCTACTTACCGATGGCTGTAAGGAGTGTACACACATGCATGTACAACTTTCTTTCGTCGCAGCCCATGATGTTCTGGGAGCTGTCCCCATAAAACATGTACAACTCGGCAAGGTACAGGAACCTGAGCGTCACGTCAGCCAAGAGGGCGACAGTCTCCTCGCCAATCTTTTCAACATCAAGATCCAGCGATCCTTTAAGGCCCCTGGATTGCCAGCGAATATCGTTCGCTTTTGCTGGAATCTCGAAGTCCCAGATCCACTGCGGAAATGCTCTACAGAGCTCTTCCTTCCCCTTGATCTCGCCCAGCGAAGGTCCTCCCCGTTCTGCTGCCGTCCGCTTCCCAACCACCTTCTCCTTGTGTGCTATTTCATCTGGAGAGGTTGGAGGTGTCCACTTCTGGAGTTGTTTAATCAGAAGGTTCATGTCATTCTCGTTCTTGGCAACTCCAGCTTGTTTGTATAAAGCTTTGACAAACGCGTGGAAGCCTTTGCCAACCTCGAAAAGCACAGTGGCATTCTCAGGCAGACTTCTTTGTGGATCATATGTTGCAAGCGCCGCGAGCGAATCCCGGAGATGCTGCTTCGCCTCCACTTTTCCCAGACGGGATTCTTGTACTGCAAGACTACCCCTTGTGAGCCTCCCATGACAGGCCTCCATGGCGGTGCGGGTTGAGTTTTCTGGGCTCTCAAATCCCCTCATATATTACCAAAACAGCAGATGCTGGCTACCTGTCAGTCTGATATGTACACTGTACGCACATGCCAAGGAACCTACCGTACCCACATGACGCTTGGGCAGAAATTAATTATTTTCTGGCGTGCCCAAATTATTAAAAATAATTGGGTAAAATCTGCCCAATGTTTTCAAATCTTCAAAAATTTCAATATTCAATTTTCAATCCGCGATTCATTTTGCCCCATAAAAAAACAGGAATATGGCAATATCTGCATTTGCCCAAAGTTTCAAACGGATCAGAAAACGAGTTTGTGCTTGCCCAAACGCCGTGAGATACGTTAATAAATATTGTGCAAAAAAGTGCCCAAGCGTCATGTGGGTACGGTACTTCCGTCCATGTATTTTGGCCGGTTCCGTCCATTTTGTCTTGTCGACGACGGCCGGAAAAATCACGCCTTACTTTTTCCGTCCGGCGCTCGGACAGACTGCAACTTCCGTCCACAGAGCTGCCCCGGGGTGCTTTTCCGCAGGGATCTCTAGCCGGTAGAGGCCACCGGGCATCGGAAAAGGCTCGAACGGGAACCCCGGCCTGGAGGTTCAGTCTTGGGCCCGTGAGTGGCCGGTGTGGGAACAAGAACATTTTATATATGTTGTCCATTTTGGAGAGCCCATGAGGTTTATGGTTTTCACTGCCTAAGTGGGGGCCCGGGTGAAAGCAGAGCTACCTCCACAGCCCGGGCACCGCCGATATGCTCCGGCGACCTCAGCACGAAACCCTCTTTCAATTTTGAGCTAACCCGGCTAAGTGGGGGGTTATTTGACACTCAATTAGTGCAGTAACCCTCGCTGCCAGACCACTTCTTCAACGTCCACTTCCAGCTTTCACTTCCACCAACTTCCACCTTTTTCTACCGGGCACCTTGTACTTGATCGCATGGGGGGTTGAATAGAACCGGCCCCGGGGGCAGAATTTGCGAGAAAACAAAGCGTGTGTTCGCCCCCCACTGCCAGAGCGGACCGTAGCCCCCGCAGTCGATTTTTGCAATCTATATAGTCCTTTAGATATAGTTATTAGTCGCAAAAATCTACTGATATTTTGGGGACCGTCCGCTGCAGACCGCGTCGATTCCCGACCGTTCGATCGCGCGTCGACGGTTTTCCTAAAGCGGTTGCGGTTTCCTCCCCGGCGGGCCGCCGATGCTGACTCGGCGGGCAGCCGACATGTTCCAGAAGCTTCCATTATGCTCCGATTGGTGGGGAAGGTGCTTCAACTCAGCACTTTCCCGCCTCTGTATTCAAACCTCAGTTGCCGACCAGCCGCTCAGGGGCGCAACAAAAGCATCATCGCAAGTGCAGCGCTGCCTCCTCAAACTTGCTTTGCATCTCAGCGCCCATCGCAAACATGGCAGCACGACCGGTCCATGGCTTGCAATCAATGGAACTTACAGTTTGCAGATTTCCGAAGAACTATGCGCCTATCAGGAACTCCGACCTCGGAGAGGCTCACCATGATGCTGCTGAAAGAACGAGCGCTTGCCTCTTGATCAACCAGGTGAGCTGTAAGAGCTCACCAACTCAGTCGTCAACCGAGGGTTTGCGATAGGTTCCAGCTCCATCACAAGGCCAGCTCCGGTCATGCTCCTGTTTCTCAGCTCCACTCCAGGATTTGGTGCGCCTGATTGTCAGAGCTCCCAATCAATTTGTGTATGCTTCCAGGCCATGGCTGCGGTCTCCCCATCATCATCCTGCAACAGCGCATCGCTTTCAGAGGGCTCCTCCAGAGGCAGTCTAGACTCGTCCGACGGCGGTCGGATGCAGTCGCCGGTGAGCTTTCTATTGGATTGCCTTCCAACCATCCATCGATGATTGATGCACGGTCCTTCCGAAGGATTGGCAGCTGTTGTTTGCGAGTCGTGCGGGATGCCTTGGGGGTTTCGTCTGAGCCTAGACTCCAGACAGGATTTGCGAGCTAGCGCGTGGTTCTGGTCCCCCCTCCTCTCGCCAGAGCCTCAGCAGTCGATTTTTGTCAGGTATATTGTTCTATAATCTATAGAGTTGTTTGCAAGAATCTACTGATTCCAAGTTCCTGCAACGCGTCAGCCCTAGCTAGAGAGGGGCGCGTGCCAGCTGGCGGTAAGCCTCACATGCTCGCGCAGAGTTTGCAGAGAGTCGGGAGTTGCGAGCTAGCGCGCGGTCCTCCTCCATCTCTTCCGGCTGACGGTCACCCAGTAGATTTTTGTCACCTATATAGTCCTAAAGATATAGAGTATAGTCGCAAGAATCTACTAATTTTTTGAGTGACCCCACGCCTTCCAGGTCGCGCTACCCATCAGCAATCTACCGCACCCAGAGGGCTCCCCCGGGGTGGGCACCGGAACTCCGGGTGGCGGCCCTCCACAATCTCCGGTAACCAGCCACCCCATGCTCGTGGATGCGCTTGCTTCCATGACTCTGCACGAGGAATCCAGCAACCCCTCTCTTGCAAAGCGCTATCGCCCGCGCCCCCGCCACTGCAAGATCCCATCATCCGTGGATCTAACCTCTGACCTTGCGCTCCTCGCTTGCAGGAAGGCAACGGCGCGGATATTCACGGTGCATCCGAGTCCCGCTCGGACGAAGAAGACAGCACCGTCACCCAGCTTCCCACCCCAAAGCGCAGCAGGTAGGGGCGCTTTGCTAGGGGCTTCGCCCGCCTCCTCTTCGATCGCCAAGCTGCTCGTGCATCTTGCAAGCCCACACGAGTCTGTCGCAAGCAGGCCTCGCTCTTTCTGCACTCTGGACCTAATCGTTATTAGTACATTCAACAGGCGCACAGCAAACACTCAACTGCCAACGCACACCGCTGAGACGAGCAGAAAGGCCGCCTCCTTCATGGCCGAGCAGAAGGCCGATCTGAAAGCCGTTCGAGCCCGTCAGAGACGCGAACCCGGCAGAGCGCGCTCGGAGGACACGCTCGACGATGTTTTAAAGGCGGATGTGGATTTCGAACCTCGGCGCTGGGATTTGATGGACGGTAACTTCATCCGGGAAAAGCCACCCCCTAAACCGAAGGACACCCACAAGCAGAGCACGTTGCCGGAATGCCTGACCTCCGTCCAATCAGCAAATGCGGTGAGGCATGCCTGCGATAAACGCTCAGAAACTAGATGATGGAAAGCTCTTCCCTCACCCGTGCCCGCAGCTGACGACGAGTCTGCGAGCCTCGTCTTGCTCCCTACATTCCCGTCGGACCTCATCACCCCAAAGCTTGCCTCTCTTCTTTGCCAGTGCAATCATTGCATTGGTCCTCTCCTCAGCTTGAAGCGCTCGAGCAGCGTTTGCTTTTGCCGCCTTTGCGAGCTTCACCTCTTCCACGGAGTTCGTCATCGATATGTATGTTCACCACCGGAAATGTCCGACTGGCCTTGAACGTGCGGACCGTTCTGGGAACCCTCACCCTCGTGGCACATGAGGCGCTCCACGAGTGTGTTCTGGAGGAAATCCTATCATACCTGCAGATTCTGCCGCGAGTCGAATTCAACTGGAGGACCGAGGCGCAGACCAGGCCAGGCCAGGAGCAAGGCAGGTGAAGCATCTGCCTCCAGCCTCTCGACCGCTTCGCTTGAGGGGCGGGGCAAAGCCCCTAGCAAAGCGCCATCGCGCCCCCCCCCCCCTTAGTTGTCAGTGCTTACGGATGCCAGTACTTTGCGTGCACATGTATCGTTCAATTCCCTCCCTTTGCAAGCTCGTGTTGTATAGGTCTGTCCTGGAAACCCATTTGTGAATATCTACATGTGTACATTTTCTTGCGGATTCCGAAATATCATAGGTCCTTTTGACTATCTGTCACACTCTTCCTCAGACGCGCACACCCGCAAGTCGAGCATACTCCCGCCATGAGCGAGCAGGCCGCGGAGCTCATGGCCAACAACAGAGAGGGTCTCCGCGCCTACGAGGTGGAAAGGGCAGCTGAGATCGAGGCCGTGCGGACCGGCCCCATCAGCAAGCCGGGCCCCTCAATCAGCTGCATGGGGGATCTGGCCGCCGGCATCGGAGCCAACAGAACGACTCCGATCACGCAGGAGCGATCAACGCTGCGGGACTGGCTTGTCACGCAGGAAGAAACCCCCGAGGTAGGAGGCTCGTTTCGTGCTCGAGCGCGAGAGGCATGGTTCTCAAAAATTCAGTAGATTCTTGCGAAGAAGTATATAGACTATAGAACTAGATAGGTGACAAAAATCTACTGCTGAGTCTTTGGCAGGAGGAGGAAGGCGGAGGGCCAGACGCTGGCTCGCAGGCCAGCAATCGGTTGGGGTCCTTGCCCAGGAGTGAAAGGCTTATGGACCCAGTCAGCAAGCCAGTCAGTCCCCCTCTTGACCGGCGCACTCCCTGCTGGCCCCACAAAACAAACCGTTTTTACGTCTATGTTGAATGAGGTTTATTGAGTACTCTGTCAACCCATGAGAGCAACATGTGCGGGGACTTACGGGTTCATTAAATGCATGCCTGGCAACCCCCTGAGCCTGGGATCCCCTGAGCCTACACCTGCTTTCCGAGCATCGAAGGTGCCATCGCCATCTCAATTGTTACACCGTTCCAAGCAAGTAGAAGCAATAGCTACTGAGTTGTTGGCCTGGTGCACATGGACATTCAAAGGTCGTTTCGAATTTTTGCAGCAGCTTCCGTCCGACGCAAGAGGCGAGAGCATCGATGACACCATGGAGGGCTCCGCAGACGGTGGTGACTCTGAGGCAACCAACAGCAAGCGTGAGGACGTGAGCATGTGTGTGCAGTCACGACCGGAGATCGACGCTGCAGGACAGTATTGGTTCACCACGGAAAAGCCGCTGGAGCAGTGCCGACGGACGATGGCGGCTGGCGAAGACCGTATCTTGATCGTCTGCGACGTGTCGAATCACTCGGGGGCGAAGAAGTACGGCAGCATCCGTGACCCGTCCGCCCTGCAGGACTACGTCACGCGCCGCAAGGAGATGAGCCTCGGCCACCCCAATCTGTACGAGGGCTTGACCGAGGGCCTGCCGACCAAGCTGTACGCGGACATCGATCTGCGGACGGCAAGCAAGGTGGCGGGGGACTTCGAGCGGTACAAGAGACACCTGGACGAAGTGAGAGACGCCTTCCTGGTGGACGTGCTAGGCATCCCACCCGAGAGCATCCGGTTCGAGGCCAGCGAGGCGCACGGGGACGCGGCCGATGGCGGTTACAAGTGGAGCATCCACGAGCTGTTGCGCGGATACTACCTCGAGAACTTCCACGCCCGCAACGAGTTCAAAAAGGCCTTCGAGCACTTCCAGAGGAACCTCTCCGCGCACCTCCAGCACTGCGACGAGTACCTCTGGCATACGCCCGACCCCCAGACAGGCCCCAAGCTGATCTGGGACCCCTCTGTGTTCGCCAAGTTCAAGTGCTTCCGGATGCTCTACTCCCGAAAGAGGGGGTCGGACCGGCCCCTGCTCCCCGTCGAGGGAAGCTCCCCGCAGCTGCTGGACCACCTGGTGGGCATCTACTCGGCGGAGGAGCTCGCGTCTCTGACGAAGATCGACGTTGGAGTGCTGGAGCGGTACAACCAAGAGGTTGGGGTGGACGCGGGAAAGCGGCGCGAGATCCCTCGCCGTCACACTACCCGGGTCGCGGTGGAGGGGGGCTCAGTCGAAGGCGGAACTCGGGACGACGCGTTAGGCGCGCCTCTGACCGCGCATGAGCTGGAGCGTCTGACGAGCGTTTACAGGGAGGACCATCCCGGGGCGGAGATCCGGACCACTCTGCAGGTCGCCACCGACGTCTTCACCCTTCACTTCCGCATCCAGCAGCCGATGTGCCGCATCCTTGGGGCCGCGCACGACAGCGACGGGAACAACGGAGGGTACCTCGTGTATAGGCGGAGCGATCCGACGGTGGCCTACTACAAGTGCCACTCCGCGCGGTGCAGGTGAGCTTGCTGGTTACCGCGGGCTGGCATGCGACTTGGTGCAGGACATTGAAATCAGTAGATTTTTGCGACTATCTCTATAGACTATGGGACTATATAGGTGACAAAAATCGACTGCGTGACCGTCACCCGGAAGGATGGAGGAGGACCGCCCGCTGGGTGGCAACTCCTGACTCTTTGCAAACTCTGTGCGAGCACGTGTGGCATGCCTCCATTTCTTGCAATGGCACCAGCTGGCACACGCCCCTCTCCAGCTAGGACTGCCGCTGTGCAAGAACTTGGAATCAGTAGATTTTTGCGACTATCTCTATAGACTATAGGACTATATAGGTGACAAAAATCTACTGGGTGACCGTCAGCTGGAAGGATGGAGGAGGACCGCCCGCTGGGTGGCAACTCCTGACTCTTTGCAAACTCTGCGCGAGCACGTGTGGCATGCCTCCATTTCTTGCAAGTCACCAGCTGGCACACGCCCCTCTCCAGCTAGGACTGGGCACCGCTGTTTAGGAATTCGGAATCAGTAGATTTTTGCGACTATCTCTATAGACTATAGGACTATATAGGTGACAAAAATCTACTGGGTGACCGACAGTCGGAAGAATGATGGAGGACGGCGCGCCAAGTGGCAACTCCTGACTGAACAGCTTGGTCTCCATGCAGTGGTACCGTGCGGCGGCTGCAGCTCCAAGTCCACAAAATACCCGGGTGGTCTGAGGACTATATGGATTCGAGCGGCATGCGGTCGTACCCCCTATTTGACATCAAGAGAGGAGCCCCGAAGCACACGGTCTTGGTGACAGCAAATAAAGGCATTGGGAAATCGAAGGAGAGCTACGATTGGCTGTGGAAGATGCTGCAGCGGAACGAGGGCGTGGGTGTCGTCATCATTGCTGCCAACATTGCCCTGGCAAAGAAGTGTGAGTCGGACCTGCGGATCGAGTGCGAACGCAAGATGAGAGCGGGCCTCTGCCTGTACGGGCTCGACCTGTTCGTCAACTACCTGGACGCGCCCGGTGGCGACATCAAACAGCCGAGGGTCATATCCTGCATCAACTCGCTCCACCGAGTGCGATCCAGCCCGGCGATAGTCATCGTCGACGAGGCGGACATGGTGCTCGCCAACTGCAACTCCGACGTGATGACGAACCGGAAACAGGTCTTCATGGCCGCTGAGCGCATCATGGGAAACGCCCGCATCCTCATCGCGATGGACGCGCACATCGACTGCCCAAGGGTCCTCGAGTGGTTCTACATGGTTCGTCCGGACAGTGAGCTGCACTCGATCCGGAACGCCGGCGTACACCCGAGCCAGCTGGGGAGGACGGCCACCATCTACCGACTGCCGAAGTTGAAGAACTTGGAGCTCACGTGCGCCCCGGCCGTTGCGCGCACCCTGGAACTTTTGAAGAGCGGCCTGAAAGTCGGGGTGAGTGTCTCAAAAAATCAGTAGATTCTTGCGACCAATCATATAGACTATAGGACTATATAGATTGCAAAAATCTACTGCTGAGTCTTTGGCAGGAGGAGGAAAGGAGGAGGACCACACGCTAGGTTGCAATTCGTGTGGCCGGTCGCTCTCGAGTCAGAGCTCTAACCCTGGTCGCACATGCCACAGGCACCCTCGGCTAGCCTGCGCTACGTGAAGCAGCTGACGGAGGCCGCCGCTTCAGAATTCGGGCCATCAAAGGATGTGAAGGCATTCCACGGCGCGCAGAAGTCTCCGGAGGACAAGAAGCGTCTGTTTCAAGCCGTGGCGGAACCGGACGTGCACATGCTGGCGGATTTGATGACCCACACATCGGTCATAGGCCCGGGAGTATCAGTGGAGAGGCCTTGGTATGACACGGTGGTGGCGCTGGCTTACAATAGCTCCTTCCACCCGGACGTGTTCGCCTTCATCCAGATGCTCTTTCGGCTTCGCATCGCGGGGCCCATGGATATCTACCTCAGCGCCGACAACCCGCGCAACTGCCAGCCGGCGTGCTTGCCCACGACGAAGGAAGACGTCTTCCGAGCGATCGAGGATGAGGACGAGGAACTTCGCAAAATGCTAGGGTCCACCGACCACCTCGACTTTCTTGTCAGACGACGCGGCAAGCGGGCGATATGCAACCGGGAGTCTGCCACGTGCGTGTTGTACGCCAACAACGTGCTCGCGAGATGCGACAGCATCCGCCACTACCTGAAGATCATGACGGAGGATCTGCAGAAGCAGGGGCTGACGGTCATCGAAAAGGGAGCACCGTGTGTGGAGACCGAACATGCTCCACCGGAGGCTTGCGATCCCGATGCAGAGCTGACGGCTGAGGAGTGGCGAAACAAGTACGTGGTTCACGGGGACCAATACTCGCACCTCAAGGTGCTGGAGGAGTCGCAGGACGTTGGCTTACTCGAGCTGAAGCAGATCAAGCTGTACGAGGCGATCCATGAGTTTTACAAGGTCGACCCCGCGCTGGTCGACTTTGACTTCTTCGACGAGTTCTGCGCGGAGGATGACAAGAATCACGACATGTATGGGAATTACATGAGGTGAGCATTGACTCAAGGGAGGGAGCTTTCCTACTAAGCTGATGGCGTTTGATTGGTTGTCCGGTGGAAGCTTTGTCCCTGCAATGATTATTGTCGAAACATTCAATCGATGCTTTTACTATTGCCTCTCACAGGTTCCGCGAGCTCTCCCGCGACCAGATCGCTGCGGGGCTTTGCAATCCGCTGAAGGAAGCCGATGCGGTGGGCGTTACTCAAGACTATCTGGCGGAGCTGTGACGATTACGTCTGGTTAAGCCTAACCTCGTTCTCGTCAGGATTTCGTTAGCTGCTTGTTAGCGAAACGACAGCGGTTACGTCTTAACGGCGCGCTGTGAGACCGTTGATGTACGGCGTTCTATCCA